AAAGAATGTAATTAGGGGTAAATGAGTGTAATGATGTGTATTGTATTGTGGATACAAAAAGCAAATCGAACAGGTGGATGGGGACATTAATTTAAACGATGCTTTGAGAGGGGATTGATCCCCAGTGTGCGCTGCTATGTTTATTGCGCAGTCCAAGTATTGGCACTGTATAAGTTAATCGATTATCAATTGAGGTGTTTATGTGTTTCAAAATGAATCCGGATACTTAAAAACATAATTATCACCTAAAGCGTTGATTATTGTTAACATAGGATGAATGTTATGGTGTTCTAACTTGAATCTTTATGCATCATTAGTTGAGAATAATGATGGTGTGACGAGTTGTATAAAGCTATGTGATAAATTTCATTATGGATATGGATGGAAATTATATACATAGAACATATGTAGGTCATGACTATCTCTTTAATCACTACAGGGTATGCATTTACTAGTTATATAAGGCATGTATTTATATATGTCATGGAGATATACTTTTACTTTTGTTATAAAATTTGTAAATTTATATTTACTATGAAGGTTATGCTTTCATGTTTATCGTTTAGGCTACAAATTCTTATTTTCCATGCAGGATATGCATCTTCATTGCTCTGAAAAACAGGGGGGGTTGGGCCAAGCTTATTACTTGGGCCTTTTGGGCCCAACTATCATCAAAATCCCTAGGTGCTAGATTTAAACCTTGGGCTAAGTGGTGGGAATTATAAATTGACCAGGTTCATTAGAAAACCTTGGTGGTTACAGCGTAGATTTTATCATGAAAGGTTAGAACATAATAGCTTAAAGATACATGTGTCAATTAATGTTATGAGAAGTATCAATGTAACACAATCAAGGATTGAAATGAGAAGTCTACTGAGGTGAGTAGTGCCTAAGAGCTGGCATGTTGCTATTTGGTAACTTGTTTATATACTTGTTATGATATGTGTATCTCATGCAGGATTTGAACTGCTGATGTGATTGTATAATGAGAGTTGAGTATGAGTGCTTGGGTTTGAGACTATAATGACCATTGTGTGAAAACGAAGTATATTTGGAGAATGGTGATGAAGAGTTTGAGACGATTCATCCATAGGGGTGATGAGAACATTAAAATAGTGGTATCTATGTATCTGGAGTAAATGCTAAAATATGGTGTATAGGTTATTTGATAAATAACATAAATAATTAAATATAGTTCTAAGGGTAGAAAGTTGAAAAAGTACAATGTAGAAGTGTGGAGGAAAAGTATCCACATATTCAAACCGGTTCAGTTGAAAGAAGAAATTCTGGAAATTATCTATAGAAATTAAGTTATAAGATTGCAAAGGTAAGTTGGTTGCAAATTAAGCAATGAGTTTACAACTCAATGCAGAATTGATAGTAAAACATTAGTTTGTATGATCTGATTGTGTGAAACTAACATAGGTCGCCTAAATTAATTCATGCCTATCTTTTGAATCATAACTTGTATTATACTTTCAAAGAAGTTTTTATGACAAAATGAAAAAAAAAATGTAAGGCTAGTTATGAGATTTTCTACATTATAACCGTTTGGCTCAATTATGAGTTTTGATGAGGTTTTTCTAGATGAAACAAGTTGTATTGGAGACTCACATCTCCTTATATATTTCAGTTCATTTAGGTGCTCAAGTCAACATGTCGATGGAATCTTCATCATCTTCCCGTTCCGATGTGGCCTTTTCTTCTCATGTGTGGAAGTACCATGTTTTTCTTAATTTTAGAGGAGAAGATACTCGTAAAACTTTTGTTGATCATCTCCACACAGCTCTCGTACAACAAGGGATCTATGCTTACAAGGACGATGAAACACTTCCTCAGGGCAAATCAATTGGCCCATCTCTAATGACCGCTATTGAAGACTCACAGATCTCCGTCATCGTATTCTCTAAAAACTATGCAGATTCTTCATGGTGTTTAGATGAACTTGTACATATCATGAAATGCAAGGATAGAAGAGGCCAAATCGTGATGCCTGTATTTTATGACGTTGATCCTTCTGAAGTTAGAAAACAAAAGGGCAAATACGGAGAAGCATTTGTGAAACATGAGTTGGAGAACAACAAAAAGGTTGAATCTTGGAGAAAAGCACTTATGGATGCTGGTAACATTTCTGGATGGGAAACCGAGCACATTGCCAACGGGTGATTTTCTTCTTTCTTTGTGCACTTTTTATGCTTAGGATATGCATGCTCTACTACAAGACATTTATAATTATACCTTATAAGTTATATATATATATATATATATATATATATATATATATTATATATATATATATATATATATATATATATATATATATATAAAAGGGATCCAACAAGTATGATTTGAAGAAGTTTTATTAGCTATTTTGAAAACATGTAGAACAGATTTAAGAAGAAGGATGCATGATAATACAGAGGTTGTCATACAAATGGTTCAATTGTTCTTGATGATGTTCATGACCTTAATTGATAAACAAAGGCTTTGATAAGTGACGAATAATAACAAATACTACTGCAAATTAATATTTTCCAAGAATTCACAAAGTAAAGTTTCTCTAGGGTAGTATGTTTAATTTGTAGGCACGAGTCAAAATGTGAGCGTGTGTTGATGATCCTTGTATGTTCAATTTGTAGGCACGAGTCAAAATGCATTGAAAAAATTGTTGACACAATTTCACATAACTTGCATCCTGTAACTTCAAGTGTGGATGACAACCTGGTTGGAGTAGAGACTCGCATGCAAGATTTGATATCAAAGTTACAAATTGGGTTTGGTGGTAAAAGAATGATTGGAATATGGGGGCTTGGAGGTGGTGGTAAGACTACTCTTGCCTCTTCTGTTTATGATAAAATCTCTAGCAAGTTTGATGGTTGTTGCTTTCTAAAAAATATTCGCGAGGAAACAAGTAATAAAAATGGTTTGGAAAGATTGCAAGAGAAAATTCTTTGTGGTGTTTTAAAACAAAAGCAAGTGGATGTAGGGAGAGTTGAAGAAGGAAGAAATATGATAAAGGATAGGTTACACCATAGAAAGGTCTTGATTCTTCTTGATGATGTTGACAACCTTGAGCACCTAGAAGAGTTAGCTGGATCACGTGATTGGTTCGGTGAAGGAAGCCGCATAATAATCACAACTAGAGATGAACATGTATTAACTGCACACAAAGTAGATGTTATACACAATATAAGTTTGTTAAACACTGATGAAGCTATGAAGCTCTTTTGCAAGCATGCACCTCAGGGTTACAGACGTATAAAAGACTATCAGCAGCTTTCGAAAGATGCTGTATCATATGCTGGTGGGCTCCCATTAGCACTTAGAGTTCTGGGTCGTTTTTTATGTGACAAAGAGACGAATGAGTGGAGAAGTGCATTGGATAGATTGAAAGAAATCCCAGATGCTAATATTCTGGAAAAGCTAAAAATCAGCTTTGATGGACTTACGTCCGAGGAGAGAGAGTTGTTCCTAGACATCGCATGTTTCTTTAGAGGTCGGATTAAAGATGAAGATGTAATGATGAAACTTGATGCTTGTGGTTTTCACTCGGTTATAGGCATAAAGGTGTTGGTTCAAAAGGCTCTCATAACTATTTCAGAATATGGAATGTTTGATATGCATGATTTGATACAAGAAATGGCACACTACATTGTTAGAAGGGAACACCCCAAGAATCCTGCAAAACATAGTAGAGTTTGGAAAGAGGAAGATGTTTTAAAAATATGTGCTATGGATGAAACAACGGTAATATTTAGCTTTATCATGATATATTGTATAAAGAAACACTTTTTAGATTTTGATGATCCTGAAACCATTTTTTTTCTGTATTCCAGAACCTTGACAGGATTGAGGCTATACATGTTTTGTGTTTTAGGAGTGATGAATCACAACTAGTTGTTCAGGTTGCTGCAAACATGAAGAAACTTCGGTGGATTGATTTTGATTTTGATTTTGAGCCGATAGAAGATGGATTGATTGAGACTCCACTTGGATTAATTATAATTCCAGAAAATTTTCCACCAAGGGAGCTTTGTTGTCTAACATTGAGGTGGCTCGATGCAAAACAACTCTGGGAAGGTTACAAGGTAATTCTTATTCGTTAATGAATGCAATCCAAACTTTTCAAAATTGTGGATATTGTCCTTTTCTCCTAATTTGGTTTTGGATTTAATTGGTCCCTTACAAAATTAAAAAGACTCTTTTCTCCATATGTAATCCATTCGGGTTTTGTTTTTAAACAAAAAAACATTAATGTTATAGTCTTATAGGTTTATATTCTTTAAATTAAAATATACTCAAAGGGTTTGGGACCAAACATGTGTAAAGCTGAAACCGAATTTATTTAAATTAGTTTATGTTTTTGATATAATTGTTTTATTGTTTTTCCATTTCACTTCTGTTTAAATTATTTTAAAGCTGAAACCGAACATGTACATATACATGTATATATACATACATACATTCACTTATTGTTCATGAATTGCTGGCAAACTTTGTGCATACAGTATCTACCAAATTTGAGGATGATCAAACTTTCACGTTTGGATAGCCTAATCAAGACACCTGATTTTAAGGGGCTTCCGAACCTTGAAAGATTCTTGGTTTATGAATGTTGGTCTTTAGAAGAGATTCATCCATCATTTGGACGTTTGGCAAATATTGTTTATGTGGTGATACAAGATTGTGACAATCTTATGATAGTTCCACCCATTAACCGCTTGAAGAAACTTGAGACTCTTGTGCTCTCGGGATGCACTTCATTTGATAATCTTTCAAAGATCGAACAAAATATGGAGCATCTTGTACCTCACAACATGAACCACATAGGGCTACGGCTTATTAGTGGATGCTTAAGGAAACTAGATCTCAACCGATGCAATTTGGGAGATGGAGACATCAAGTCTGCTGCTTTTTGGGAATTAACCAACTTGCAAGAGTTAAATCTAGAAAGAAATAAATTTGTAAGGTTGAATTTTAGTCTCTTGCAGCTTCCTCGGCTCAAATATCTCAACATAAGATACTGCAAACACCTTTTAGAATTGGCGGAGCTGCCATTAAGTATAGCTGTTGTTGTAGCGGATGGTTGTGAGTCACTTGAAAGCTTTGGAGATATTTCAAACTGTAAATGGTTGTGGAAAGTCTCACTTATTGGGAACCACAAACTTAGTCCACTTGCTGGTGACATAGTACTAAACTCCATGCTCCAGGTTTGGCTTTTCATTTTCATTCTGTACAAGAAGAATAAAGGTGAATCATAATTGAACGTGTTTGTTTTGTGGTAGGGAAACGCGAAAGATTACTTTTTCAGTATCTGCCTTTCAGCCATTGACATTTGGAGGGGGTTTGTAATTTGGGTATACTGGGTGAAGACATATAAGATGTCGCTTCCACATGATTGGTACAATCACTTTTCTGGGATTTTAATGTTCGTCAGTTGTGTCGGCAATTTTCTGGACATTAATATAAGTATCAAGCAGGGCTTAGATGAAAATTTTCAATCCCAGTTTTGGCAGGGGTCTAATCGAAGACATGATACTCAATCTCAAGAGACATGTGTAGGATATGTTTCCTTTGGTTCATTGAGGCACACTGGATGCTTGAATTCAACGTACAATACCATTTCCTTTTCCTTGGAAAATGAGTATTTGTATGGAGGTGAGCTTAGGTTTAGGGCTGTACTCGTTCCTAAAGATGATCTGATGCAAACAACAGAAGTTGAAACAGATTGGTCAGAATTTTGGGATGAGGAAGAAGTTTATAAAAGAAAGACATTTACCTTCCATCATCATCCAAACTCCTCTATCAAGATTTTATGGGAACCTATTGCTCATTATTACTTTTAGATGATTTGTGCTACCAATTTCTTTTAATGAGTTTGTTGATGTCAACCAAAATCTCGGATGAGAAATATATTCAAGAGTCACTTTAGCCTGAGTGTCTTGGATTGTTTATTGATCATGGTTGTTTTTATTAGATAAGATTGCATCCGAAGTGATGAAATCGAAAATTGTATGGGAAAAATTTGTCTTTCTCATACGATATATGTGATTTTAATAACATTTCTACAAGTCGCACCTGTTGGTTGATATTCCATTTCTGCATTATCAAATGTTGTTTATGGAAAGTGATTACAAGTTGCCTTGCTGATATATAAGACTATTATATGGACTCCGGTGCAAGCTCTCACATATCCTTTAACTCATGTAACATGCTCTTTTTACAACCATGTAATTCTAAGTCCATAATGATTGGTAATGGTGTCATACTTCCGATCACTCACATTGGAAAAGCGTTTTCCGCATTCTCCTAGCTGTTTAGCTTTTGTAATTTGGTTTATGTTACATTTGAACTATTTGGTTTCACTGTGAACACGTGACATTGTCTGTGATCTTTACCCTATTCTCTACTCGTTTTCCTCCTTGCTATCGATCACTATTCTAGCTGATGTGGCTCTCACTACATGGAATTGGAATCGTTGACTAGGACATCTCGTATCTTCTGTTATGAATTTTTTGCAATCTAGACATTTTATTTCTAGATCTATAAATAAACTCCCAACTTGCCATGCTTGTTAGCGAAGGAAACATTGTCATTTATCTTTTGAATATTTCAAAACTAAAACTTCTCATATGTTTGAATTTATACATGCAGATTTGTGGACTTCCCCAATTTCAAACACCAAAGGTTTCAAATATTACATATTATTTTAGATGATTTCTCGTATTTTTATGGATGTTTCTGCGTTGTGCAAAATCTGATGTTTTTAATGATTTTTCTACTTTTCATCCCTATGTTTTAACACTATTCAAACAAACCATTCAACTTTTTCAATGTAATAATGGTCAAACAATTCAATAATCAAACTTTACTAAATTTCTTTCTAAAAAATGGCATTAAAGTTCGGTTCTCTTGCTCGTACACCTCTAAACAAAACAGAAAGGCTAAGCGTGTAATCCGCTCCGTCAACACTATTCTTCGCACCTTTTTTCTTCATTAATCTCTTCCACCAAAGTTCTAGGTTAAAGCTATTTTAACTAATGTTCACATACTCAATCTTCTTCCCACTACAACACTTACCTTTAAGAATCCACTTGAAATTATATTAGGTTTTTTTCCCATATATGATCACCTTCGAGTGTTTGGAGTCCTTTGCTATCCAAACACAGTATATGTGTCTACCTCGGTCCCTCCCCCGACTATAGAGGTTATCATTGCCTTGACCTTGTCATATAACATGTCCATATCTCTCGACATGTTATTTTTAATGAGGAGCAATACCATTTCCCTGATTTTCAAGTTGCCCCTTTACCCTCCGATTATGATCCTTTTCCTATTTGATGACCCTTCCAACTGTGACGACCATCACTCTCTTAGTTGTCTCTCCTACGACATCTAATGATACTTCTCTTTCACCTTCTACTATTGTTCCCGATAGCAATCCTTTGTCTAATCACGAATCTTCTCCCTCCTTAGAAAGTTCCTCTAATTCTTCCTTGTTCCACTCTCCTCCACCTTCCCCCTCCAATCACCCTATGACCATCGGTTCTTGTACTAGCTCCCTTGAAACACATCATATGATTTGGTGATTCTTCGTTGACTTTGATCTTCATGTTTTAGAGAGTTTTGGATTCTAGAAATCGAATTCATCCTTGATTCAATTCCTAATTTGATTTTCTTCACTAGAATTCAAGTGATTTTTGCTTTCTCTTTCTAGAAAACCCATTCAAAATCACTTTCTCTCTCTAGAAAAACTCAAGATCTTATCGATTGATCAAAGGTGGTGTACTTGCCTTACGATTCTTGTGTAACGCCCATTCCTGCTATGTATTTTAATAAGAATTATTCATTTTTGCAAGGGACTCGATGAGGCCCCAAACTCGTCGAGTAGAAACGGATCTTTTGGGACGCAAGACTTGAAGTCTACTCGACGAGTTGAGAAGCCTCAACTCAACGTGTTGGGTTGCTAGAGTGAAACCCTAATTTTTGGGGTCTGCATCCTATTTAAGGACCTTAACACTTCATTGTGGCATCCTTCATCGCCTCCCTCGGTCCAGCAAAACCCTAATTCGTGATCTTGAGCCTTTTGAGTGTGTGTGTGTGAGTGAAATAAGAGTGATTCCGTCGTATTTCCTTAAAGGGATGGAAGTTAGAAGTGCTTGGTTGAAGGAAGAAGCTTCAGATCCAGAGAGTTCTTTGTCAAAGCAGCCTTATTGAGGTATAAAGTCTATACATTGACTATTCATTTACTAGATCTCTTTACGGAGTAGTTTAGGGATTTAAAGGGCCGATTATGGAACCATTCATGGATGCAAGCATGTTTTGGAGTCATGACTTCATATCTAGATCCCTAGAGGGACTTCATGGCATAAAGGTGTCAACTTTATGGCGATGGGAGTCCCATGCAACTTGTGAACCACTTTTTAGGTCCTTTTGAGCTAAATAACCCATGCACCGACGTAAAGTTGGAAACTTTACGTGGTATATTGACCCTAGGGAACAAGATCTATGATTTGAATGCAGTAAGCCCGACTAGAAACGTTTGTATGGATTTAGACTATGGGGGACTCGACGAGTTTTTCATACAGCTCATCGAGTTGGGTCGTGGTCCACCAACCTTTTCTGTTACTAAGTAAACTCGTTGAGTCTAGGAGATGACTCAACGAGTTGGTCATGGTTTTGGTTCATGAAGATTGAGGAACTCGACCAGTTCAAATAAGGACTCGGCGAGTTGTGAGTGAAAGGTCCCAACTATATTATGAAGATTGAGGAACTCGACGAGTTCAAGGAGGAACTCGACAAGTTGTGAGCGAAATGTCTCGACTATGTATGAGGAGGAACTCGACGAGTGGGATCGAGATTTCTAGGGTTTAATGGATCATGGAACTCAACGAGTTGATGGACCAACTCGGCGAGTTGAGTTAATCAGGATGTTGAATTTGACTTTGACCTTTGCCCAGAGTTGACACTTAAAAGGGTTATGAGTATGAAAGAGTAATTATAAGGGATTTCATGTGTAGGAGTTGAGGAGAGTTGATTCTAGAGCCGAGGACATATCAGCTACTTCACGACATTTTAGGTGAGTTACCTTCCAATAGAAGTGGGTTGAAGGCACCAATATCGGCCCACTAGTAAGAGCTATAGTATAGATGATTGTCTTTGTGATAATTATCTGTTATGTCACAATTTGTTATGCTTTATGTGCTAGTATGCTATGATGTTATGTAATAGTGGTAGGAGGGGTAGGATAGACCCCAGTACCGGTCGATAGGGCTGCAGGGGTATGCCAACACCTGAATAAGCTAGGTAGTATATGACTTATGTTTATGCACTAGGATGCTTTGTGGTAGAAGTAGGGGTGAGATAGTCCCCGGTACCGGTCGAAAGGACAGAAGGGGTAGGCCAGCACCCTGATATGCTAGGAGAGGTACCGATCGAAAGGATCGAAGGGGTAGACCAACACCCTAATATGCTAGGCAAGGTACCGGTCAACAAGACCGAAGGGGTAGGCCAACACCCTGATATGCTAGGCAAGTGATCAGTTGAAAGGGACTGGAGGGGTAGCTAGTACCAGGATATGTTAGACAGTATGTTTATTGTATGGTATGTGTTATGATGGGGGAAGTCACTAATGTTTTGTGATTATGTGGTATGTGGTATGATAGAGAATATGATACAAAAATGGGTTTTATATAAAATAGGGGAAAAGTGGAGATTTGTGCTTATGGTTTTCAGTTTTTGTTTCAGGTACTTCTTCTTCGAAGGAAAAGGAGTTGGCACGGTAGCAGCGCATCACACACATGATTTTCTGCATTATGAGATTCTTGGGATTTGTACTCTGAAATTGTTACTATCTTATGACATGATTTTGAGACATATGATCTATGGTTTTTATGAAATGAAATAACTTGATGATGTTTTCTATACATTGTTTTATGATTCGTTATATCAAAATGAAAATTTTGGTCTAGAATTTTGGGATGTTACAAGTTGGTATTAGAGCCTTGGTTTGAGGGATTCAGACGCACTTTCGGGGGTGTCTAGACTCAAATCGATGGTTTGAAAGGTTTTTACAAGAAAATAGTTTTTTTAAAAATTAAAATAAAGAGCTTTGAGAAAGAACAAGGTGTGTGATGCGTGCAATCAACCGAGCTCAAGTAAGTTTTCCCCAAGATACCCATACATGTTACGTTATGATATATGATGTGATTATGAGAACTGCATGCTAGATTAGGGCTGAGGATCTAGTAAGGATGCCTTATATGCCTATTGTATGCGTATGAGAACTACATCCTAGATTAGGGCTAAAGATCTAGGAGGATGCCTGATATGCCTGTTATATGTGCTTATGGAGCTACATGATAGTACTGACTGGTCAGTGATATGATAGCCTGGTTATGGTATGCTTGGTTTTCGTTACTCAATGCACGAATGCTGCTTGCTTTGTGCTTTTAGGAGTCCTAGTTATGTTTAACTAACTAGTAAATGAATATGTTAAGTTACATATTACGAGGACTAAATAATTTCAGAAGGTTAGGTTTAGCCTTATTTCGCAACTCTCG